CAACTTAAAAAAGTTTAGTTTTCGTTTTTAAAGTTTATTTTTAGCTTTTAAAGTTTATTTTTCTAACCATTTTTGGTACCCCATGGGTTAAGTGGCGACGTGAACAGTTAATCTTTGAAATTTTCTTTTTTTCTAAAATTACATATAATTACCACGAAGATAAAAAAATGAGTTAACTTTAAATGAAAAAATGACATGAAAATTTTTTAAAAAATTTAAAAAAATTATTTTAAAATTATATTATTTCAATAAAATATTACAAAAAATAACAAAAGACACCTTAATTCATGTTTTTTTAAAAATATTTTAATATTTTTCAATTGGAGTTTATTGAAATTAAATAATTTTGAGATAATTTTTTTCTTAATCTTTAAGAGATAAGATGAATAAATATTATTCTCATATATATTATTAAATGAGTTAATATATAAAATATTATAAATAATAAAAAATTAATTATATAATAACACATCATATCATAAATTTATAAAATCAAAAGATATTATAAGTATCTTATTTTCGTTTCTCAAACAAGCAACAAATACATGCAATAGTCCCATTTTAGATAAAAGCTAATTAAACAAATTATATTTCTTTTCACATAGGTCCGAGAAAATGTTTGAAGTGATTGAAAACATGATATTCTAAATTTTAAATTTTAAATTTATATACTAAAGTCAAGCAAAAACAAATATTTTGACTATATAGCTCAATTATCTAATGCATTAAATAAAAAAAAGTGTGCACAAAAGGAAAATTTTAATAAGCTAGCCTTGGCCTAAGCTAGCATATGCATTAATTATCTTGTGGTGATACAGGTGCGAGGTAAATATACTTTTACCCAGATGTTTGAATGGTTTACACATGAGGTATGAATAAAATAAAGTTGTTGTGATTGGGGTAATTATTTAGGGATGTGTTATGGACCATAGAGAAAGATTCTGGACGGAATCTCGTGAATGGTTTAATTCCATTGTCACCAACCAACTACTGCATATGCTACACATTACAGCTACGCATACTACTGAGGGCCACAAGCCCACAAGAGAGCTAAACAACAAATGAGTGTCACGAGAGGTAGTCTTTTTGCTTTTACATCGAAGCAATAGCACACATTCATCATCCCATTGCAACCCGACCTTCCATTTAATAAGTAGTTGTAGGTTTTTTTACAATAATTAATACATAATATATTTATTATAAATTTATTATTTTAAATATAAAATTTAAAATAAATAAATTTAAAATATATAATTATACATGTACAAAAAATTAACTAAATTAATTATATTTATATTATATTTTAATAATTAAACTAAAATAATTGTTAAAAAATTTATTAAATTGATTGTGTGAAAATCATCACGCATTTTTTTTTTTTTAAGATCTAGAATATGTGGAAGTTGAGATGGATCCAAAGATGAATTGTGGATATATTTGGTATCATTATCAATAATTCTACGTAATTTCTAATTATGTTAGTGTTAGTTTACTAAAAAAACTCAACTCGAACCACGCTTCCACAAAATTGTATTTTAACCTAACAAAAAGGGATTCATATATATCTTTTTCCATTGCACACACCCACATTGACTATATTTTATCTTTTTTAATTGAATTTAGTTGTTTTAGTTTGGCTTTTAAATAAAGTTAAAAGATATTTTTTTTTCTTTTTGTACATTTGGGTATTTTCAATTAAATAAAAAATTTTAATTATAGTTTATTTGCTACATAAAATTATTAAATTAATTTATATAAAATTGAGAAACTAGCTAGAAAAAAAAAAAGAAAAAGAAAAAGAGACAGGAGGGGGTATAACTATTGCACAACGCAAAGAAAAGACTCATGAATGGTTTCACATGAAGTTAATTGTGAGTTTGATGATGCAATATCTTACCTAATCATCTCCATTGATTTTGTCTAAATTATTTTTCTAAGAATATAGGAACAGTTTTTTTCCTGAGAAAAATATAGCAACGTTTTTATTACTGGCCAGAAAACAAATTAAGCTTTTATTAAGGTTAAAATCTGATTTTGGTCCCCTAACTTTTGTATGGAGCTTCTTTTTAGTCCCTCAACTTAAAAAAGTTTAGTTTTCGTTTTTAAAGTTTATTTTTAGCTTTTAAAGTTTATTTTTCTAACCATTTTTGGTACCCCATGGGTTAAGTGGTGACGTGAACAGTTAATCTTTGAAAATTTCTTTTTTTCTAAAATTACATATAATTACCACGAAGATAAAAAAATGAGTTAACTTTAAATGAAAAAATGACATGAAAATTTTTTAAAAAATTAGTTTGCTTATATTCTACGTGAGCATTTCACGTAGAATATGAAACCCGACTCAATAATTTGCATTTATCCCTTGTTTAATTGAAACCAATGGATGTGATGAGCCCACTTTAAAGCATAATTATCTTTGATAATTAAATAATTAATAACACTATATTTTAATAACATTAATACTTGCATTATTACATTACATTAACCAAAACAAACAAAATAAAAAAAAAAATATATATATATATATATAGTGTTTTCAATTGTGTTCTTCATCTTTAAAGGACATAAACAAGATGAAGAACACAAACTATTTCTTAACTCATTCTTGGAATCATAACCATAGAAATAGAAATTGAAATTGAAATCAAAAGCAAAATCAAAATCAAATTCTTCATCGCTTCACATCAAAATTTCCCTCCGTTATCATTCTTGCCCCTGCTTTAACCCAATCACCAAAGAAAAAATAAGAAAATCAAGAGGAGAGTTCATGATGAATGCAACGGCATAAACCTTGGTTATGAACCCTAGCCACAAATATGAAAAAAGAGAAAGGGGATTAAAGAAAATTAACTGAAAAAGCCTTACTCGTAAATCTAAAAAAGGTGAAAGGGATCAAAAAAATTGATTTTGAAACTATAATTATCACCCAGACACCAAATTATTTCCAAGCAAGAACGGATTTGATCAAGCATTGCCTTCCTATTCTTGAGTGAACCAGACTTCATAGCCATTAAAAACAGAGGAATCTTGAACAGTAGTTTTCCCTTGATAAGTAATTTAACACATTAACATTATCATCTAATTAATTTTTAAGTAGAAAAAAACACAAAATTAACATCTTTATAAAAAAATTGAAAGTTTATGGGTTTGTTTAGAAATTGATAAAATTCATATCTTTAAATAAACAAATAACAAAATTTGTATTATTGGGTGGAGTGGTATATAGTTTAAAAAACCAGCATTAAGAAATGTTAATGCCGAATCATTTCGAAACAAGTAAGCAGTTAATTTGTTTCCCCTTTTAAACACCTCCTAGAGCTTTCCTCAAAAAAAAAACACCTCCTAGAGCATGATATCATGCGTATATCATATCTGGACCTCTTGCTGTATTTCTGCGGAATTACATGCATGAAATGTTAATGCCGAATCATTTTGCAAGGATCCATACGGTCTCCAAGCAAAACAGTTTTGAAAGTAGGTTTATCACAAAAATGTTTCATTAAGCTTCGTTTATTTTATCCCCAAATATATATATATATATTTCATACAATAACAATACAACACACCTAATCCCAAAAGGTTAGATCTAATAGCAGTAAATGTGATCATATAAATTAGCGATATGATTTAAGTATAGAAATCAACACTGAAAAAAAATTAATTTTAAAATATATAAAAGTTGATTTGATAATATTATTTACCAATAGAATGCACTTAACGTGTATCAATTGATAATAATTTGAAACTTCTAACTATATATTAAACTCAAACCTTGATAAAATAGATTTAGGAAAAAAAATTAATGATTATCTATATTATAGCTCCTATTACTAAGGGGCAATATGAAAATTTTGGCTGAGTAATTTTTCATCAAATTTTGCAGATTATACAATTAAAAATAACTTTCTCCCATTTAATGTACTGGACCATCACTCATTCCGACAACATGACTTGAACTTAAGAATTTTCATTACTTTTGTCCCCATTGTCTTCTTCATGGTGAAGCCAACATATTTTTTTCATGAAAAAAATAAGTTATGATAGTTACAATAGAAATACTATTACCAAATTTGTTTGTGGTGGTGAAAACGTTTCCAACCCTGTAAAGAATCAGACTTTGGTTTTGGCACTTTACTCTAGAAAAGTTCAGCCTCAAAGAAAAGTTCACAGACTCATAGTACGCTTCCTGATAACTCAATTCCAGGCTCCCAACTTCAAATTTCACCCACAGGAAACAGCATAACAAAAGAAATCATAAAAAAAAAAAATGAAAAGGAAAAAAAAAAGAAGAAGAAGAAGAAGAAGTAAAGAAGAACAAGATCTCAGGACCACACAGCACATGACATGAAACAAAAAAACAGGGAAAAAGTGGAGAGATGAAAACAGGGGAAGGGTTGGCAAAATGAAATCCACTGAAGAACCAAGAACATCCTGCCAAATTTTGCCACATGAGGACATCCCTTCAAAATCCCTCTGCATTCTTAGAGAAAATGATTTTTAATTCAATTAAAACTCGACGCGTGTCCACCAATTAGCCAAAGTACACTTTCTCCACTGGAGCTGTTGTTTCACTATAAATTAGAACCCCTGCTTCAAAGCTCCTTACCCTTCTTCTCTCGTTTGTTCCAATTTATTCTTGTTCTGCATTTTTCATCTTGAGATTCTGTTTTAGCCAATGGACGTCGCTCGCCGGATTCTATTTGTTTTTATTTTGGCGACAATTTTGTTACATTATTATTCATCCAATGTGGATGGAAGAAGCCATTACCACAAGAAGAAGAAGAATAAAGGCTCCAGCGGTTCTCCGTCCACTCCTCCTTCGTCCCCTGTTAGTCCTCCTTCCATTCCTTCCGACCCTTATCCAAACGATCCTGGGAATTCCTCTGACTGCATTTTTAACGTGATGGATTTTGGGGCAATTGGAGATGGCGACACAGATGACACTGCCGCCTTCAGGGATGCTTGGAAAGCTGCCTGTGCCGTTGAATCAGCCGTACTCCAGGCTCCGGCTGATAAAGCTTTCGTAATCACTTCCACCATCTTCTCTGGACCATGCAAACCCGGACTTGTATTTCAAGTAAGAATCCAAATTTAAACTTCCTAATTATTCTCATTTTAAAGAAAATCTTGGTTTATTTTTGTATTAATGATTTCAGGTAGATGGGGTTTTAATGCCGCCTGACGGGCCGGATTCCTGGCCCGAAGCAGATAGCCGGAAGCAATGGCTTGTGTTTTACAGACTGAACAATATGACTTTCACCGGGACAGGAACCATAGAAGGGAACGGACAGAAGTGGTGGGAACTCCCTTGCAAACCTCACAGAGTAATTATCTCTACTTACCCCATAAGTTAATTATTTATATTGCCAACAAATTAATTAATTTAGTAATAATTTCTGAAAATAACCTTAAGTTCAAGTATCTGGTATAAACGCGAGATGAGTTTAGAAAGATGAGAAAATTACTTCAATTGTGCAATCCAATATATTCAAAAAAAAAAAAAAAATCTTTATGTTCTTTCTTAATTTCCATTGCCCTTGCTAATTTCCAGTACATTTTGACTGTAGGGTCCAAACGGTTCCACATTGCCTGGTCCATGTGACAGCCCCACTGTAAGTCTGCCGTACTCAGCGTCCTCTAATTCAAGGACTCAAATTTTCATGCTAATAATTATATTTTTCTTCAGATGATTCGATTCTTCATGAGCACAAATTTGGTCGTGAGCGGCTTAAGAATCCAAAACAGTCCTCAATTCCACATGAAATTCGATGGTTGTGAAGGGGTTTTGATTGACAAGTTACTTATATCTTCTGCAAAACTCAGCCCCAACACTGACGGGATTCACGTAGAAAACACAAAATCAGTCGGAATTTACAACTCAATGATTAGCAACGGTAAGAATGGTGGTTCTTCTGAATCTTGAAGATGTTGATTTGTTAGTTATTTTTTGTATTAATAACGAGAGCACATTCTTTTAAAAAGGGGATGATTGCATTTCAATTGGTCCCGGATGTGTTGATGTTGATATTGAAGGTGTGACTTGCGGCCCTAGTCACGGGATCAGGTATGCAGTACCTTAATCAACAAAAATAGTAAGAATATTAGACTTCACCATCGACCAGCTGGGTCATGCTGTTCTTGAGAATATATCCTTTCCATTTCCAAAAGTAAGAAATCTGTGGTGTATAATTTTTTGACATAGCACAACTAAAAATTACAATTTATCTCATTGAGTAAATACTAACTAAAATAGTACAAGTTACAATTCATCTCATTTAATCCATATTAACTAAATCAATCTAAGAGAGGCTCAACTGGTAAAAAGATGGCATTTTGTGCATCTATTGGTATCCTCACCGATAGGCAATCTTATTACCATGGACTTGTTGAGGGGCAAAAATCATTATGCAAAATTCACCTTTCTGTTTCTAAACTAAATTTTGAAGAAACCAGGAATAATATTAATGATTTTCACAACTTTTGAATAGGAAATTTTGGAATCTGCCTATTTATTCTTTCTTCTTCTTCTTCTTCTTATTATGGTTTTTTTTTCTCAGTATTGGGAGTCTAGGAGTGCACAATTCTCAGGCATGTGTTTCCAACATCTCCGTTCGCAACGCAGTCATACGGGAATCCGACAACGGCGTGAGAATTAAGACATGGCAAGGCGGGTCAGGTTCCGTATCAGGTATATCATTCGAGAACATCCAGATGGAGAATGTCCGAAACTGCATAATCATAGACCAGTACTATTGCCTCTCCAAGGCCTGTCGAAACGAGACATCCGCAGTCTACGTTACCGACGTCCAGTACAGGAACATTAAAGGCACTTACGATGTCAGAACCCCGCCAATCCATTTCGCCTGCAGTGATACGGTGGCCTGCACCAACATAACAATGTCGGAAGTGGAGCTCCTCCCGGAAGAGGGAGAATTGTTAGATGATCCATTTTGTTGGAATGCCTATGGAATTCAAGAAACACCCACTATACCTCCCATTGATTGTTTACAAGATGGCATGCCGGAGAGGATCGCGGAGGTCGAATCATATGGCTGCTAAGATAATACAATAGACTCTTTTTTCATATATATGATATGTGAATTACTCACAATCTAAAACTTAAGGGGACATTTGATATATGCATTTTGTTGGTCATACTTAGGCTTCATCCCTATTAGGGCCATTATTTTCCCCTATTGTGTGATGAGATGTAGTATGAAATTGGAAATGGTTATTTTTTGTGCAAAGATTGTACCAGTTTGGATTATCTTACATATATGGATTGTATGAGTAATTTCAGAAGTAGTTATTAACAAGCTCTTGTTTTTCTTGTCTTCAAATTTGTGAGAAAATGAAATGGCTCAATGTAAGGGACAATAGATGTACAATTGTTATCAAAATTCAAATTAAATATAAATTGAGCTCCAGTTTAAATTCGAGTAGAGCACAATTTCAAATGGATGCATTGACTCTTGAGATTAAAAGGAAAATGAATAGGTCGGATGGGGATAAGAGGTCAATGGGTTCTAGCCCATTCTTAAAATGGAAAGGATGTAGTGATACAAGCCCTTTGTTTTGGTGGCCCGAAAAACCTCGTCCAAGCCCGTATTGGGTCCAACTCCAACCCGTCAATGTAACCTCTCCTCTCCTCTTCTCTTCTCTTCTCTTCCTCTTCTGTGTGTCTCTCTGACCGAATTTGCGGCTTTGCTCCTTTACAGCTGTGACTAGGGGTATGATCTGTTCAACTTTCTCGATTCATTTCTCATCTTCTAACATTTCCAATTTCATTCCTTTTGATTTTTTTTCAAATGAATTTTAATTATACCATTGATAATGTAATAAACCCTCAAATCCTTGCAAGTTTCCATTTTCCCCTGTGCAGTTTGAAGCTAATCCGATATTTTTGTCTCTGTTTGTGTTGTTTTTATAGCTTGGAAATTGAAGGAATTGGAAGAAGCAAAAGAAGAGAAAAAAAAAAAAAAATGCCATCTTTGCAAACAGCTTTGCCTCCTGAGCTAGCTGACAACGTGATTAGAGTTAGTATTATCTCTTGACTATGGTATTCTTATCAGTATATTCGTGCGATTTGATTATACAAAAATACACTGCATTTGATTCCTGATTTTTTTCTTCTTTTTTGGCATTATGCAACAATTGAAGCTTTACCGTGAGTGCCTTCGAAGAGCTAAATATATTGGTCATAAGGTACTCAACATTTTCTCTCTCTTGATATTTCTTGAAGTTTTGGGTAATGGCCTAATGGGTGTTGCTTCATTCATTTACTTAAAGTTGGTATTTAGGTCTATAAAGATGTCAAAAATAGAAACTTTTAACTTTTTGGGTGTAGCCAAGGGAAATTAAGTTTGTTTGAAATCCCATCTAAGGTCATTGGTCTTGTATTAATTGGTGTTCCTAGCCCCCCAAAATTACTATGGTTTTTTTCTTTTGATTGTTGAGTTACAGACTAAGAAGTAACCTCTCTCATCTCTTTTTCCATTTCACACTTGGTGTTATGACTCAAACCCGGGATCTCTATTTCCAAGAGGAAGGAGATTACCAATAGGCCACTAAATCATTGACTTTGCTTTTTGGCATCAGATTTAGTTGTTTACAAGTTGTTATTGGCAGTGATGTCAAAATCTAGATTTAAATCTTAAAATCTTACGATTTTATGATTTCAGTAAGGTATTTCGTGTAAAATCTATACTAAAATATGAAATCAGTTAAAATCTCGATTTTGCTGTGAAATCAGGTAAAATTTAGATTTTACTGTGAAATTAGGTAAAATCTCGATTTTACCTTCTGTTTGACAATTGGACTTTTTGCCTATTTCCTTTTGGGTTTTTCATTTTGGATTAGTGAGTTTTGACTAGATAATCCATAAATTAAGCTCATTTTTCATTTTAAAAGCCCACGACCCACACAATCCAACCATAAATCAACATTTTAATCGAGAATTCGGGACAAATTTGATTTAACCATCTAAAATTCTAAATTTAAGTCATCTT